GTATTAAAATAGTAATTTCATTTTTTTAATGAAAATAGTCATAGGACAAATATTAAATATTAAAAAAATATTTATTTATTTTGAAAATAAAAAAATAAAAAATAATTTGATATAAATTTAAATTTTAAAAACGGCATTTCAGTACTAATGTCATTTTTCCTTTTTCTCTTGTATTAAAATAGTAATTTCATTTTTTTAGTGAAAATAGTAAGTTTTTTAATACCAAAGAAGAGCAATGCTAGCAACACTCGCCATTTGCACTCTCCGACCAACACTTCCAATTTCATTGGGCCACGTTATGTTGGTTGGGAGAAGTAATCATTTCATAGCCAAACAAGCTTACGTGGCCCAATAAAAAAGCATGTGTTGGCCGGAGAGTGCAGGAGGCTAGTGCCCCCTAGCACTGCTCTACCAAAGAAAGGTAAAAATTTGACTCGACCTGCACGCAATGAGTTTAGCCCACTACTCTCCTCTAAACGCTGCGTAGCAGTCATGGCGCGAAGGCACGGCGTCAACTACCACCCAACGGTAGCAGCTGCCCTCATCCTCCTTCCACGCACCTGCCGAGTCACAGCTCACTAGTCCACTCACGATTCCTGACAAAGAGAAGCTCAACTCAGCGACTATTTTACCCTAAACGGCAGGAGGTCACTATCATCACGCCCTTGAAAACTGCGCTCACCTTTTTCCTCGCTCAGTCCACTTCCTCTCACCTAAAAAAACCCGAAATCGCAAAATTACTTCTCCAACTTTCCTTCACGATCAGTTTGCCAATTATTTTCTCAGGAAAACTTGCAGACTCAAAAATTTCCCGAGAAAGCTTCTCTGGAAATGGAATCGTCCGCCCAGCACCGTCTCCATGCCATTCAATCTCATCTCCTCCCTTCAACTGCCGCCACTGCCGACGATCGCTCTCTTCTCTTCCATAACCTCGCCTCCTCGAACTTCTTGAACGGTACTCTCGTAGTAACTGATTTATCTCATTTCTTTACCGGAATTGTGTTCGCTTATGAAAATGATTAATTTGATTCGCTTATTGTACAAATTTTGAGTAGGCCAAGGGTATAGTGTGGTTCTTCCAGAGAAATTGCAAACAGGGAAATGGAATGTCTATAGGTGC